TTTTTTTTATAAAAAAAAAAAAAAAAAAAGTGGGGGGGGGGGGGGGGGAGCGAAAATCTCTTATCCCTTTGAATTATAAATGTCATTGATAATTGATATAAATGTAATTGATCCTACTGAAGAAATGACCATCACTTGGATTTGCATTTTATAATAGATTCAAACTATTGCTTAAAATTTGGGCGGAACGGCGTCCACAGGAAGGGATCAAACTGCAACATGGTAGGCACATTATCATAATCACACCCTGCCCTTTTTCCATGTTGCATGTGTGCGCAAAGGGGTGCTTGGATCACAACACCCCGTTCACCCTTTTTCAGGTTTGACTGCTCCCAGATGTTCCTGTGTACGTGCATCCTTGTGTGTTTCTGTGGGAAAGAGTGATTTGGGCAAGAGGGACAGAATGGTTTGATTTGCAGATGGGGAATGAATTACTGATATAATGGGAAACTTTATTTTACAGACAATTAATTTTAATTAGTCGTTATCAATTAATTATTTTTTTGCCCTGGCCCTGTCCTTTTATAGAGTGGGGATATATATACATCCAGGCTCACTTCCCGCTTTGTTGGAATTAGAATTCCTTTATCGTTTTAATTTGTGTGTGTGTTTTTTTCAATCTACTTTTCCTCTGCAGGGAAGGCAGTTAGTTTAAATTCAGGGTCACCTTCCTTTCGGGTAAATATATCTATATAACACATCAATCCAGCATCAGAATTTGGATTTACAAGTAAAGCGTGCCCACTTGCAAGCACACTTTACAGAAACTGTTACGTGTGCAGTTCTGTACACGCTGCTATCAAACTTACTTGGCAGATGATATAACAACTGAGTGCTGATCCGAATCAAGGATCTTTGTCAGATGTGTAGCAACTGAATCCTCATACACAGACATCTGAAAACAAAGTGAAAAAAAAGCTTTGGGTCTTAAATGCAGCTGCATAATATTTATTTACCACACAAACACATATCAATAGACAGGTAGATAGACAGATGATAAATATAGACAGATGATAGATCAATAAGACAGACAGGAGGGAGATAGATAGACAGACAGACAGGTTCACTTGGGTACCTAAGGATTTATTTTCCGCTTGTATGTATAGTTGTTAAATGCTAGGCTAATCTTGGCCTGGCTGTTGTTAAGAAGGCTGAAGTTGTTTGAAAAACCAAAACCAGGGTTGAATAACAGGAGTGAGATGTAGGATCGGGCTCCCCTGGCTGTAACTCCTATCCATTCAGTGCAGTATTAGATGAGCAAGTGCCTATAGACATTCACTTCCTCTCTCCTGTCCATTCAAGAGTCAATCTGGAGTGTTTGTTCCAGTTTCTATTTATTATTCTGAAATGGATGTAGCAGCTGCAAGTTCATGATTGATGCCCAGTCAATAGATGGGGGAGGATTTTTTTTTAACAAAAGGTTTCAGTATGTGTCTGTGTGTGTGAAAGGGAGAGAGAGTATCAGGTTCAGCCCAAAGAACTCCAAGAGACAATGCAAATACAGCTCTGTTGCGTTTATTAGCTACAACCTCCAGACAGAAAATCCCCCAAGACTGAACCCAAGTTCCCAAGCCAGTCAGCCACAACACCATGAATTCCTTAGGGAGGTGCCAGCCTCATCTTCTTGAACTTCCCACC